TCCTCCGAGCCTCTTCAGATACCCCGTCTGCTGCAGTGGCATTCCTCAGGTACCCCATGGCTCTTTCCCGCTCCACTGCCCACGACTCCTCCCATGCTCTCGTAGCAATGTCTTGTACCATGCCTGGCCCTGGCCGTCCCTCTTCCAGCCGGAATGCATAGCTACCTGGTGTGGCCACCAGCGTCGGCCAGGCCTTTCTTGGCGCCCCCACCTCATTGCATGGGAATTGGTTCCTTGCGTCTGGGGTAGTCACCAGAGCTGGCCTTCTCCCCGGCTCTAGGATGTCTTGTATTAGTCTCGGCACGGGTCTCTGCATCCGCCCTAATTGGTCTCTTAGCACCGGCTCTGGAATCATGTTCTGCCAGTAGCGGCAAACTCTCATGGCCTTTGAACCCATCGGCACTGCATCCCAGGCCACTCCATGGCCCAGTTCTTTGGTAACTAGCTTTTGTGCCTCCCTGACTAGGGCCCTTTGGTCCTCGGCTACATCCAAGTTTTCCACGATATACGAGAAGGGTCCTTGTCGCTGCTTGATCATCTTCATCACCCTGATCAGTTCACGAAACAGTGCTGTCCGAGGGTCCGCTAGCCCGCGTCCCCTGCCTGCCCTTGACAGCCCTTGACATTCCCACCCCGCTACTAGCAGGTCCACCTACCCCCAGCTTTCCACCACCTCCTCGGTAATGGCTGTCACATCATGGATTGCCTCAGCTTCCGCCTCTGTCCTTCTGATCATTGACATCGGCAGACGGTCCGGATACTGCTCATGCAGGAGGCGCGCGTGATGGTAGGCCATCTGCCTGACCCCTGCTTGCTTTTCCACGTACACCCATCGCTGCACTGTCACTCCCGTGTGGATGCAGGCCGCCAACCCTGGCCCGATCCCTCCAAACATCTCCACCAACGTCACTGCTCTGTTGAACATCTCAAAGTCCTACGTCGGCTCTGTCAGCCCTTTGGACTCTCTGTAGTTCGTAAAGCTGGGGCCTGCCGCTTCCTCCCATGTCCTCCTTTCTGCGAGTTTTTCCAAGTACACCCCTGCGTCTTCAAACCGCTGTTCAGGCACCCGTTCGCTGGCTGGCTCATACTCGAGGCGCCCTCGTAGAAAGCGGGCGGGCAGGATCGCGGCAGTGTGCTCGTCTCATTGCACCCCTGAATCCTAGTAGCGTGGCTGATACTTCACCCTTTCCGCCCATGTGTCCACCAGGAGATCCATGCCGAGTAGGAGGTCGTAGTCGTCTGGGTCCGAAACCAGGCAATGGATTCGGATACGGGCCTCGTCCTCGGATCCAGGTGCCAACACGACCTCCTGTGGCTTCAGCGATCTCGGGAGCCACTTGCCCACTCCTCCCTCCGCCGTCTAGATGCGCACCCCTTCAGGCGTTACATTCTCTTCTTGGTGCAACCCTAGGCGCTCCGCCAAGCGCCTTCCCACCAGGACTTGGGAAGCCCCTGTGTCTATGATAGTCGTTCCGGGGTACTTGCCCTCCACCGCGACTGCTCCCTCCAGCGCCTCCACCACGCACGACCTTGTTGCCATCCGCTCGAATGGGTGTCGCATTGGCTCATGACTCCCTCGAGCCCGTCGCACCGCTTCCTCTACAGCCTCAGCTTCCCTTTCCACCGAGCGATCCACTCGCGCCCTTGGTCCGTTGTGTCCCGGTGTTCTAGTACGCCTTCCATCCACCCCCCCCCTGCGTAGTCCCAGCTCTTCATGGCTCCGTCCATTGCTGGAGGCCATGAACATTGGCTCCCCTTCACCCTCGTCCTTCGAGTTAGTAGGACTCCGCGCCATGAGGTTCTCTCGGCCTTCTTCTTCCTCCCCCTCCCCCTCTGCTGCCTTCAGCCGCCTTTGTTCTTCTTCCAAAGCTTCGATCCGACTGCGGCGTCTCCCTCGGCTTCCTTCCTCCCTCTGCTTAGTATAGCAATTATCTGCCCCATGACCCCTGCGCTGATAGTATGTACATGTCTGGAGTTTAGGGCAGTCTCGCTTAAAGTGTTTGGGTTTCCGACACTTGTAGCACACAGGCTCCTCTCCTGGGGGCGGCGTGGCGCTCCTAGCCCTCCGAGGTTTCCCTCTGAACTCCTTACTCTCTTTCTTCTCTTCATCGTCCCCCTTGCACTCGGCCATCATCGCGCCACCCCAGGTTACTCCCTTCCTCTTGCGTTCCCTGGTTCCGCGGTCCGCCTTCCTCCCCAGGTCGTAGAGGCTCAGCGACTGCTCATGGCGCCACGCGATGTCATATGCATATTTGAGCGTAGCCTTGGGACCCAGGTCGTAAGTCTGGTCTCTCACCGTGCAGGCCAAATTCCCCGACAATCCATCCAAGAACTTCGCCACCACAATCGTGGGCTCGTTGCAGCCGATGTCCTCGGCTAGCTGGTCCACTCAATGATAGTAGGTGAGGAGCGACTCTCATGGTGCCCTCCTCAATTGCTCGAACTCTCCCAGTCGCGCCAGCGTCTCGGTAGGGAAGTGGACCTGTAGTTCTGCCAAGAACTGCTCTGTCGGATCGAGTAGCTTCACCACCCCCCCTTCCGCATCGCGGCGCACCCTTCCCGAGGCATCCCCCTCTTCTTCCTCTAGCAGGTTCTCGCGGACCTCCAGGAAGAACGCTTCGGCTTCGCTCGCCAACATGTTCCCCAACGAGCGGAAGAAGTGCCAGAGATCCAATCCGTCCAGCTCCCAGCAATATTTCTCACTCCTGACATGCATCGCATACGCCTTGAAGCGAGGTCCGGTTTCTTCGCTCGCTCGCGTGTCCATGATCGACAGCGGGCTCGTCAGCGCCCGTCTCTTCCCCTACGTCGACGTGAGGACCTTCACCCTCCCCCCCCGACGGATCCTCTACCTCGGGCAGTCGCACTCCGCTCCACAGCGACATGCCCGCCATCAGACTTCTGTTTGTAAGAAAAGCTCCACGGAAGCTCTCTTAACTCAGTACCCGCCTTGTCTGGCCTCTGTACATAGTTCCAGCTGTGCTGTTGAATGAATCCATTACTCACAGAGCATACACGCTTTCCTATGATAACGAGAGAACAAACAAAAGTAGCTACACAGCTACGCACACGCAGTTTTGTGGCTACCTCCTAGCAGATTCACTCAGGAGCGCTTACCCCTCCCTCCCATGCAATCCGCAGCAAACCATTTCGGGTTTTCCTCCGCCGTGATGGCTCCGTGCCGCTCTACCATCGACAGTGCCTCTCGCCTTGCTGCATGCCTTCCCCCCTGGCCGCTCTTGACACCGCTGAGCTGTACCCTTCCTGAATGCCCCTCTTGCCAACTGTCGTAGCGCCTCACTGCTCCCCATCCTCGATCTGAACACCCATCACTGTACATCCCCTTTTATCACCATCGCCATGTACACCCATTTTCATCTCCAACCCTTTTTGCTTAACCTTCTCGAGTTGTCCCACGATTTTTCATAACACATTCGTTATATCGATTCGTGCGACAAAAATGAATAACGAAGTGTTGAATAACTGAATGGCGATTGAAGGAATGGCAAGCCAAGATATAGGATCACAAGCAGGGTCCTCGATTGCCTTGGAACACTTTCTTAGCGATCAGACGGGCGGATTTTTTATTTCTGATTTCCCAGACGAAGTGAAAGACGAATTCTAAATATTCAGATGAGTCAATCGACAAAATCTAATTGCCCCCGACACACACCCCCCCTCTCCGCCCCTGCCCTCGTGGCCCTAGGATTTTCACGTGAACTTTGGCGACGAAACCACTCGGAGTGGTTTTTAATTGGGGGGCAAAATTGTGGGAATGGAGCGGAAAGGATTTGGGAAGAGATGCGAGTCACAATTGCAGGGGCGGGAGGGGAATCGGCGCGAGCACACGTGGCAAGGGCCAATGAGTGCCCTCGCACACACGACCCTCCAGCACAACTCGGGAAAAAATGGTGAAGGGCCAATCGGCGCTCTCACACCACTCCGAGCACAAACTCGGAGGTGATTTGGTGAAGGGCCTGATAGCGCCCTCACAGAGCCTTCAGCATGCAATGGGCACTGATTTTGGCTAAGGGCCAATCCGTGCTCTCACACAGTCAACATGCCTACAGAAGTCGCTTTCATAAGAGCAGAATCGCTAACTCTGAAAGTTCAGACGAACAAGTATACAGTTCCTGGAAAATCAGAGGAACTTGAAAAACACTTTCTGAGGCATCAGAAATTCGATTTTTTTATTTCTAAAAAACCAGATGAACGCAAAAAAAAAATTCTGAAAATTAGACAAACAGACCAATTTTGTCTGCAATCGAGGACCCTGATCACAAGAGCTAGTCTAACCATGAGATGTGAAGGTTCGGGAAGGAGATCGAAGGGTCCCGAAGTGACGAAGCGATGCCCGGAGAACTCCCGAAGGCTGAGCTAGAAGGTCTGGAGAAGCCGAGGCGGTTCTGTCAGAAAGGTCCGGAACCGTCCCGAGGCTTCGGATGTGTTCGAGCGTACGCGATAGCAGTACCGCTCGGTAAGGAATGGAAAATTCCTTACAGATCGACTATGCAGTAACATGATACGGATTCACTAAGATTTTATTAACGTATTAATGGTTATTACAAATTGATTAGGTGTAAAATCAAAGAGGTCGATGTCTGATCATTGAAGGGTTTCGATGATGAAACTCCACTATCCAACTGTACAGATGATAAAATATTAACACCATCTCATTCAAACCGTGGTTTGAGGTAACACATTTAAACTCATGTAACTATGAATTGTATAGGATTTTAGGGCATAGCATATGAAAGAACTAGTAAGATATAGGTGCCTGCTTATTTACACCTCATCACATTTCAAGAAACCTGTATTTGGCTTATAACTGGCATATCTAGTGGGGGAACAACACACTAGTTGTGGGACATGCTCAGGCGTGATTCTATCGACTGGTGACGTGGCGCTCCTCCTTCCACCAATAATTTCTCATGGATCGCGCTGCCTTGAAATTGCCGAGATTTATCCACAATGAAGCATCATCGAGCCCAGCCAGACTAGAATCTCTCTAGTCCGACACCACATCACCACAATAATCAGGCACTCATTTAGGAGACTGACGGAACGACGTCGAGGATACCAGTGGTCCCTAGTCTCCGAATAAAGTCAGACGCCTTCTTTATGGACGCGCCGCACGCCAGTACGATTCCGTAGTTGATCGCTCGGTGATCGCGTTTGTATCCGTATCATAGCCAGGAGAAAAGCTCGAGTTCTCTCCTAGTCTTGACTCGTCCTGATGGCGTCGTGTCTCCGCGCCCCGAATTTCCGCCCAATGCTCCTCCGCTCCCCCTCTCTCTCCGCCTCCACTTCCGCCGTCGCCGGAGGCTTCCTCCAATCGTTAGGTGCCACGTCACCATCGATTTTTCTCCCGCCAACGTGGCGAGGCCGGTTCTCCTCCGCCGGTTCGTCCGCCAATCCCGCCTCCCCCGCCGTCCGCAGCGAATCCGCAGATCCCACAGTGGAAACACGTTCCGCGGAAAGCGCAGGAGTAAGCGCAGCGGAGCCGGAAGTTTCCGCCAAGAAGGGCAAGGGCGGAAAGAAAGGCGGAGGCGGAGGAGGTCAGGGCAAAGGCGGCGGGAAAAGCGGCGGGGGGTCCGCGGAGGCGTCGAAGATCGCGTCGCGGTCGGAGAATTTTAGTCGGTGGTATTTGGACGTGATTAGGGAGGCTGAGCTGGCGGACTATGGGCCAGTGCGCGGCACGATGGTTATCCGGCCGTACGGCTACGCGATCTGGGAGGCGATCCAGGTAGAGTAGGCTTCGGGAACATTTCCCAGTGCGGCTGTGTGGGCTGCTGCGTGGCTGTGTGGGATGCTGCGTGGCTGTGTGGGATGCTGTGCGGCTGTGTGGGGTGCTGGATTAAGTAGCTGATCGTGCGGGTGCAGATGGTGATCCGGCCGTATGGATACGAGATCTGGGAGGCGATTCAGATAGCGTAGGCTTAGGTGGCACTGGCAAGTGCAGGTTGCGATAGTGCAGGATGACTGTGTAATGGTATTTCCAGGTGGAGAACGGCGCGTAGCCGTACGGGCGGATGATGTATGGTGGTGATGGTATGCCTCAGGTTATATGCGATTCAGGAAGTGTCACTCTACGAGGCTAATGTGTGCAGGTAGTGTAACTATGTGGTCTATGCGTTCCGGTAGTGTAGGCTTAAGGGCCATCGGCTAATGGGCCCCAAACAGTCTAGGCGTGTGTGCGTGTGAATGCGTGTGAATGCGTGTGTGCGTGTGAATGCGTGTGTGCGTGTGAATGCGTGTGTGCGTGTGAATGCGTGTGTGCATGTAAATGCGTGTGTGCATGTAAATGCGTGTGTGCATGTGAATGCGTGTGTGCATGTGAATGCGTGTGTGCATGTAAATGCGTGTGTGCATGTGAATGCGTGTGTGCATGTGAATGCGTGTGTGCATGTAAATGCGTGTGTGCATGTGAATGCGTGTGTGCATGTGAATGCGTGTGTGCATGTGAATGCGTGTGTGCATGTAAATGCGTGTGTGCATGCGAATGCGTGTGTGCATGTGAATGCGTGTGTGCATGTAAATGCGTGTGTGCATGCGAATGCGTGCGCGTGCATGTCTGTATCTGAGCACATGCATATTCACGTTGAATCCAATGTGCACATGGATGTGTGTGCGTGGATATGTGCATGCGCCTATCCCCCCGCCCTCCCCCGCAAAGCCCGCACCCCCCCACTCAAACCCCACCCACGTCTCTCCCAAACCCCGCCTGTGCGCGCAGTCGTGGCTGGACCGCAAGTTCAAGGAGACAGGCCACGAGAACATGTACTTCCCACAGGCAAGTGAAGAAGGGTTGAGAAGGGGGGGGGGAGGCGGAGGGGGGCGGAGGGGGGCGGAGGGGAGCGGAGGGGGGGGGGAGAGGGGGGGGGCGCGATGTGGAAACGGTGTAGCTCTCAGAGGTCTCACAGCAGCATTGAATCCCCGTTCAAGGAGCCAGCCACTTCCTCGGGCCATGAACGCGTTGTACGTTCTACAGGAAAATGACCCCCCGTCGTTGTACCCCTTCTCGGTCGGTTTCCTCTCTGAGTAAACCCCTTCCACAAGAGGGTTACTAGCCCCTGGAGGGTTACGAGCCCCTGGAGGGTTACAAGCCCCTGGAGGGTTACGAGCCCCTGGAGGGTTACTAGCCCCTGGAGGGTTACAAGCCCCTGGAGGGATACAAGCCCCTGGAGGGTTACAAGCCCCTGGAGGGTTACAAGCCCCTGGAGGGTTACAAGCCCCTGGAGGGTTACAAGCCCCTGGAGGGTTACAAGCCCCTGGAGGGTTACCAGCCCCCAGAGGGTTACAAGCCCCTGGAGGGTTACTAGTCCCTGGAGGGTTACAAGCCCCTGGAGGGTCGGGGCCTGTAGTTGAGCCCCAGAACCAATCTGCAAGATTTCTCTCGGTTTGCCAACAATGCACATTTAAAACCTGGTTTCTCTTAAACCCTTCCTGTTTTCGCTATTCATAAAATTCCTGCTCTTCATCCCATACTCAGTTTTGGAGAGCGATGCATCCCACCTGAAAGGCGTTATTATGGACAACACGCAAAGGCTTTGCTCATTTCCGTGTCTCTCCCTCCCTCCCTCCGTCCCCCCCCCCCCCCTTCCCCCTCCTTTCCTCCTATCCCCCACATCCCACTCTTTCCCTCCAGCTCATCCCATATTCCTTTATCGAGAAGGAGGCATCCGACGTGGAGGGCGGACAACATGCGAGGGCTTTGCTCATTACCATGTCTGTCCCTCCCTCCCTCCCTCCCTCCCTCTCCCTCCCCCTCCCCTCCCCCCCCCCCCCCCTCCACATCCCACTCTTTCCCTCCAGTTCATCCCATATTCCTTTATCGAGAAGGAAGCATCCCACGTGGAGGGATTTTCACCTGAGCTGGCTCTTGTGACTATAGGGGGAGGGAAGGAGCTCGAAGAACGGCTGGTGGTGAGTGTAGTGGCAGTAGTCCCTTAGTGACTGTAGGGGCGGGAGGGAAGGGGATCGAAGAAATGCTGGTGGTGGGTGTAGCGGAGGGTATGGGCGTTGGTGATTGGGAAAAAAAAGGGGGGAGGGGGGAGGGAGGGGGGGGGAGGGATGGAGGAGCGAGTGGGGTTGAGAGGCGTGGGAGGGAGTGGAGTAAGGTGGTTGGACGTTGGATAGGGGTGAGCTGCTTGAGATTCTATTGTGAACCAGAGCTACCAGGTCCTGCCTCTGCTGATGGACCCACCTTTCCTTCCCCTGCCTGTCAACCACCAGGTCCGCCCCACCAGCGAGACCATCGTCAACCACATGTTCGCCCAGTGGATCCAGAGCTACCGGGATCTGCCCCTGCTGATATCCTCTTCATATCCCTGTCAACCCCCCTGTCAACCCCTGTCAACCCCTGTCAACCCCTGCCTTTACTCCCACAACAGGTCCGCCCCACGAGTGAGACCATCGTGAACCACATGTTCGCCCAGTGGATCCAGAGCTACCGCGACCTGCCCCTGCTGATCAACCAGTGGGCGAACGTGACGCGGTGGGAGATGAGCACGCGGCCGTTCGTGCGCACGCTGGAGTTCCTGTGGCAGGAGGGGCACACGGCACATGCTACTGCCGAGGAGGCCGAGGAGGAGGTGAGGGGGGGAGCGAGCGAGGGAGGGAGAGAGGGAGAGAGTGAGTGAGGGAGAGAGGGGAGACCTGAAATCTCTGGAAAAAACGAGCCAAGAAAGTGGAGATCTGAGGAGTGGGATGGGGGGAAAGCAGGGAGGGAACGAGAGGTGGGGGGGGGGGGAGAGTGAGTGTGACATGGTGGGAGATAAGCACGCGGCCGTTCGTGCGCATGCTGGAGTTCCTGTGGCAGGAGGGGCACACGGCACATGCTACTGCCGAGGAGGCCGAGGAGGAGGTGAGAGGGGGGGAGTGAGTGAGGGAGGGAATGAGGGTTTGAATGAGTGAGGGAGTGAGTGAGGGAGGAGAGTGAGCCGGTCTGCCTGGAGCAGGAAGCAGCCGTAGCAGAGCAGTGTCTCACCTTCTCCTCCTCCCCTCCCCACCTTCCTTCCCCCCATCCCTCCCTCGATTTTCCCCTTCCTCCCCTAAACAACCAGGCCCTCCGCATGGTGGAGGTTCATTGCCAGTTTTCCTGCTTATTTGCATCCACTCCCCCCTGCCTCCCTCCCCCTCCTCCCTGCTCCCCCTTCCTTCCCCAAACAACCAGGCCCTCCGCATGGTGGACGTTCACCGCCAGTTTGCCTGGAAGCAGGGGGTGATGCCATCCCCTCCCCTCCCCCCATTTGTCTGCCCACCCCACTGCCAAACCCTCTCACTTCCACCAGGCCCTTGGTACGCGACACCTGTACCATCGCACTGTGCGTTTACTTATGAGGCGCCTCAAAACTAGACTCCTATCACGCGAACCCAGTGCCATCGCACTGTGCGTTTACTTATGAGGCTCCTCATAACGACTCCTATCGCGCGAACCCAGTGCCATCGCACTGTGCGTTTACTTATGAGGCGCCTCAAAACTAGACTCCTATCTCGCGAACCCAGTGCCATCGCACTGTGCGTTTACTTATGAGGTGCCTCAAAACTAGACTCCTATCTCGCGAACCCAGTGCCATCGCACTGTGCGTTTACTTATGAGGCGCCTCAAAACCAGACTCCTATCACGCGAACCCAGTGCCATCGCACTGTGCTGATGAAGGCCTATTGCTGGCCGAAATGCTCTCACTCCCACCAGGCCCTCCGTATATGGAGATAAAATCCCTGAATGAGATCACCAAACCTCTCCCCCCCCCCCTCTCCTCCGCCCCTCTTTTTCCTCCCCACATCCAGTCCAGGCCCTCCGCATGGTGGAGAGATGTACCGCGAGTTCGCCTGGGAGCAGGCAGCAGTAAATATTTCCGTCCAAGCCCCCTCCCCTCGTCCACTCCCTCCCCACCACCCCCCCGGCTGGTTCCTCTCCCCAACAACCATACCCTCCGCATGGTCGAGATGTACCACCAGTTCGCCTGGGAACAAGCCGCAGTGCTTATTTGCATCAACGTGCCCCCCTCGGCCCTCCCCCCCCCCCATCCTCTCCCTCCCTACCCACCTCTCACTCCCACCAGGCTCTCCGCATGGTGGAGGTCTACCGCCAGTTCGCCTGGGAGCAGGCGGCAGTGCCGGTGATTGTGGGTCGGAAATCACCCAACGAGACGTTTGCGGGAGCAGAGAGGACGTACACCATTGAGGCCATGGCGGGGGATAGGCGGGCGCTGCAGGCTGGCACCAGCCACTTCCTTGGGCAAAACTTCGCTAAGGCGTTTGGCACCAAGGTCTGTGCTGCGGGGAAAGGGGAGTGGGATAAGATGTGAGCGCCAAGGCGTTTGACACCAAGGTGGGTTTGTGTGGTGGGGGGGAGGGGGAAGTGGGCACGACCTTATTTGCAAAGAAGGGGAAGGCTGATGTGGGAGTGTAGGTGGGAGCAGAGAGGACGTACACGGTAGAAGCTATGGCCGGGGATAGCAGGGCCGGCTCGAGCCACTTCCTCGAGACGAACTTTGCCAAGGCGTTTGGCACCAAGGCGGGTCTGTGGACGGGTGTTGTAAGAGGCGACAGGGAGTAAGGGCGGGTGCTGACGGGATGTACACGATCGAAGCTATGATGCCTGATAGCCTCTGTTCTCGCTCACCCTTCACCTCCCTTAGCGCTTGCTGCCCTCCCCTCATAAACTCCAGTACCTGGTGGAGTCGGGCGTGCAGCAGGACAGACGAGTTGGGGAGTGAGCGAGCAGTCGCAGTGCTCATGTTCTTTCTTTCCAAGCCCCGGTATATTCATGCAGTACTTAGCGGAGTTGGGGAGTGAGGAGGCGCGTGGCTCATGTTCCCTCTTTCCAAGCCCTTGTATATCTGCGCTCACTCCTCTCTCTCCTCCCTCTTCCCGTTCTCCTCCCTCCAGTACCTGGCGGAGTCAGGAGCGCAGCAGTGTGTGTGGCAGACGAGCTGGGGAGTGAGCAGCAGTGCGTGCGCGCAGGGTCCATCACTCACTCTATGCCCTGACTGACGTTTTCTACACGATCTCCTCTCCTCTCCCCTCCCGTTCCTTCATAGAGTAGAGTACTTCGCAGAGTCGGGAGCGCAGCAGTACGTGCGGCAGGCAGGCGAGCAGGGGTGCAAGTGCTCGCATGGTGCATGCACGCCCATGCTCGCTAATGTTTGGTGAACTCTGTGCCCTATTCTGTCGGTCCTCTCTCTTCCACTCCCATAATTTTGTCCAGTACTTAGCAGAGTCGGTAGTGCAGCTGTACGTGTGGCAGGCGAGCTGGGGAGTGAGGGAGCACGCGCGCGGTACATGTGCGCTCATACTGTGGTGTTGAGTCGATTCGACTCAAAAGCAGTATTGTATCTTCCGGGTCTCTCCTCTCTCCCCTCCCCCTGCCCGCCCCTCCACGGAAGCCAGTACCCAGCAGAGTCAGGCGCGCAGCAGTACGTGTGGCAGACGAGCTGGAGAGTGAGTGAGCACGCGCACGGTTCATGTGCGCTCATGCATTGCCTATCCCTCCCCTCTCTTCCCCTTCTCTCCCTCCCATCCGCTTCTCAGTACCTGGCAGAGTCAGGCGCGCAGCAGTACGTGTGGCAGACGAGCTGGGGAGTGAGCACGCGCATGGTGGGGGCGGTGATCATGGGCCATGGGGACGACATGGGGCTCAAGCTGCCTCCGAATCTGGCCCCTATTCAGGTGAATTATCATTGCAAAGAGTAGAGAGGTGCATGAGATGAGAGGGAGTTGGGGCGTGTGCATGCGCATGGTGGGGGCGGTGATCATGGGCCATGGGGACGACATGGGGCTCAAGCTGCCGCCCAACCTGGCTCCCATTCAGGTGACTGGGCAGTGGACAGACTATTATGCTGTCTGCGTGAAGAGCATGAGAATATGTTTGAAGAGAGTTGGAGTTGGGGCATGCGCATGGTGGGTGCGGTGTTCATGGGGCACGGCGAGGACATGGGGCTCAGATTTCCACCGTCTTCTTGCACCTCCTCCCCCTCCTTTCCCTTTTTTCCTCTTTTCCCTATGTGACCTTCAACCTCTCTTGCTCCCTTCCCCTTCAATCTCTGCTCCCCTCGCCCCACCCCTCACCCCCCCTCCCACTTTCTCCTCCTCCTCCCCAGGTGGTGGTAGTGCCAATATGGAATGCAGACGTGGAAAGAGAAGCAAAGATCGAGCAGCAACTTTGTTCTCACTTTCCCTTTGGTCTCATCCCCTCCCCCCCCCCCCCCCCTCCCCTCCCCTTCCCCCCCCTGGCCTTGTGTCCCTCCCCAGGTGGTGATAGTGCCGATGTGGAAGGCCGAAGCGGAGAAAGAGGCAGTGATGGAGGCAGCAGGGCGGGCGGAGGGGGTACTTTGCCTCCTCTTATCACGTTCTTCTGTGTATCACCTCGCCCGATTCCCCTGCATCAGGTGGTGATAGTGCCGATATGGAAGGCCGAAGGGGAGAGAGAGGCAGTGATGGAGGCGGCAGGGCGGGCGGAGGGCATACTGCGGGCGGTGGGGGTGAGAGTGAAGCTCGATAAGACAGAGCAGAGGACTCCGGGCTTTAAGTTTAACTTCTGGGAAATGAAGGTGCGTTGATGGTTGTGTGCGTGTCCGAGGGACAGACTTTAGAGTCGACTAAAAAATGAAGGTGCGTTGGTGGTTGTGTGCGTGTCCGAGGGGCAGGGAATGGCTGTGTGTGCATGTCTGGTGAGGTGCATGTCTGGTGAGGTGGGTGGAATCTGAGTGCAATGAAGGCGGGCGAATGGGATACTGCGGGCGGCGGGGGTGAGGGTAAAGCTGGATAAGACGGAGCAGAGGACTCCGGGCTTTAAGTTCTACCTCTGGGAGATGAAGGTGCAAGGGACGGAGTGAGTGAGTGAGGGAGTGAGGGAGAGTGAGTGAGTGAGGGAGTGAGGGAGAGTGAGTGAGTGAGGGAGGGAGGGAGGGAGCGAGGAAACATGGTGGGGGTGAGAGTGCGGCTGGTCAAGACAGAGCAGATGGCTCCAGGCCTCAAGTTCAACCGTTGGAAGATGAATCTCTCTCCCCCCCCCCGCCCTCCCCCCCTTTCCCCCCCATTCTCGTCCCTTTCTCCTTCTCCACTCCTTAGGGCGTTCCTGTGCGCATTGAGATCGGCCCTCGCGACGTGGCAGCCAACACGGTCGTGACAGCGCGGCGCGACCGGCCAGGGAAGCAAGGGAAGCAGTTTGGGGTCTCGATGGGCGGCGAGGGGCAGGAGCTGGTGTCTCATGTGCAGGCGCTGCTGCAGGACGTGCAAGCGGGCATGCTGGCTGACGCAGTGGCGTTCAGAGACAGCCACATTGTGGAGGTGGCCTCGTATGACGACCTCAAGACCGCCATTGCCAGCGGCAAGTGGGCGCGAGGGCCCTGGACCGGCAGGTGAGAGGGGAAGGGGGGGTTGGGGGAGAGAGGGTGGCTGTGAGCACTAGTAGGAGGGGCGGAAGGTGAGAGGGGTGGAGAGTGAGAGGGGCGGGAGCTGGTGTCTCATGTGCAGGCGCTGCTGCAGGACGTGCAGGCGGGCGTGCTGGGAGGTGAGAAGGGAGAGGGTTTGTTTTGGGACATCTCAAAACAATTCAATCTCGGGCAGCATGGGCGCTGCTGCAGGACGTGCAGGCGGGCATGCTGGCTGATGCAGTGGCGTTCAGAGACAGCCACATTGTGGAGGTGGCGTCATACGATGAGCTCAAGACCGCCATTGCCAGCGGCAAGTATGTAGGTGTACGATGGGGATGTAACAAGGTGCCTGCCGATGGTTGTTTGTGTCCTCTGTAGCAAGCTTTTCTTTCAGTACGTGTGGGCTGTTTGTGGAGCAGGTAGGGAAACCCTGATTCATAAACCAGGGCCTGTTTGTTTCGCTGCTTTTGTGCGCAGGTAGAGAAACCCCTGATTTGTTCTCCCCGTTCTGTACCCTGCAGGCTGCAGCGACGAGGATGAGCAGGGGGAGGAGGAGACGGGCAACATTACGCTGCTTTGCTGTCCCTTCAGGCAGGAGCGGGGTTAATCCAGCCTGTTGGCGTTTTCCCCATTTTGTGTGCTGCAGCAACGAGGATGACCAGCTGGTGGAGGAGACAGGGGCATAATTACGCTGCTTTCCCTTCGAGCCCAAGGTGGATCATTCTAGCCCCTTTTGTACACCCCGAATTGTTCGTTGCAGCAACGAGGATGAGCAGCGGGTGAAGGAGGAGACGGGTGCAACATTACGCTGCTTTCCCTTCGAGCCGAAGCTGTCGGATGCCACCTGCTTCTTCACCGGGAAACCGGCCACTGAACGGGCGATTTTCTCCCGTGCCTACTGATGTTGCAATGAGCATGAGTGAGCCAAGCTGTGCTGCTTTCCCTTAAAGCCCAAGGCTAAAATAGCAAACCCCATTCAAGTTGGGCCCAGCTTGAACAAGAGAATGGGCTTGGTTTGAACCAGAGTTGGGTTTTTTGGGGGGGGGGCAGCAGGCTATGTTTGAAATAGATTCTGAAGCAGTTTGTGCATTGAAACTATCGAATTGGGGTTGAACCACTGTCCACTTGCTCGCGTGGCGGCAATCTCGCTTGTCGTACAGAGGCGAGGTGTTGCACGATTTCCGATCCCCCCGTGACACTAGAGAAGCAAACCTGGTCCCGACTTGAAAATTGAGTTGGGTCCCAGAGGAAAATTTTGCACATGCGATTCCTTTTGACACGGGAATCGCTTAAAGCCAGGGACCCAAGTTTCTAGAACCTGGGGCAAGCGTTTTACAGCTGGTTGGGAAAAGCCAGGTTTTGTGTCGTGTCGTGAGGGTGCGTGAATTGCAGCACTCGCAAGCGATTTCACTCGTGCCTACAACTCGCCGGCCAATCAGTAGTTTTTGTTAAATTATATCTTAAATATAATTGTCGGCTTGGTAGGTGTTACTGGAACCTACTGTAGAGGGTACAACTCCCTCCTTGTATCCCTCTCTCTTCTAATCTCATCCTCTTCTCTCTCGATATTTCTCCTAGCCTAAAACCTCGCGCCATTCCATGGCTTCCCTAGCTACCTAGCTAGTTTGACATGGTAACAGAGCAGGTTCAACCTGCTGGACCTTCTTCTCTCGCTTCCGCCGCGCACTCCTCTCTCTCTCTCTCTCTCTCTCTCTCTCTCTCTCTCTCTCTCTCTCTCTCTCTCTCTCTCTCTCTCTCTCCCTCTCTCTCTCTCTCTCTCTCTCTCTCTCTCTCTCTCTCTCTCTCTCTCTCTCTCTCTCTCTCTCTCTCTCTCTCTCTCTCTCTCTCTCTCTCTCTCTCTCTCGCTGCCATGGCGGCCGCGTCGTGCTGCTGTGGCGGCGTCGTCGTGCCGCCGGCCGTGTCGTGCTGCCGCGGCCGTCTCGACGCTCTGCTGTGGCGTCGCGCTGTCGACGTCGTCGACGTCGAGCCGTGGCAGAGTGACGGCGCCGTTATGCTGCCGTGGCGACGTGCTGCCAGCGCGCGTACGGCATGGTCGGCAGCGGCCAGCGCCCCGTCTTAGCGCTGGCCAGCACGCCCGCATGCAGCCAGTGCGCCACACGGGGCGTCACGCTCCCTGGCTCCGCTGCTGACGCCCCGCCCCCTTCCCCTGCGTCCCCTCTTACTCGCCGCAGCCGACGGCTGACTCGCGTTGGCCGTCCACCATCGCGGAGCCCGGCCACGCTGCCGGCAGCTGTCGTCGAAGCCGCCGCCGCCGCAGCTGGTGCCGCTGGCCATGCCGCCACACGCCGTCGCCGCCGCCGCTGTCGACACTGCCGCCGTCGCCGCCGTTGCAGCCGCTGCCCTCGCTGTCGTCGTCGCCGCCTCCCGCGCCGAGGGGCTGGCCCTGCTAGAGTAGCCGCCGCGGCTGCTGAGTATGGGGGTGCTAGGCTTAGGGGGTGTGTGGCTAGTGTGCTGTGTGTGTGGTGTGCTTTCGGCTACCAAGCCTAGGGGGTGTGTTAAATTATATCTTATATGTAATTGTATTTTGGTAGGTGTTAATGGAACCTACTTTAGAGGGTTCAACTCCCTCCTTGTATCCCTCTCTCTTCTAATCTCATCCTCTTCTCTCTCGATATTTCTCCTAGCCTAAAACCTTGCACCATTCCATGGCTTCCCTAGCTACCTAGCTAGTTTGACAGTTTTAGTCCCAACCAACTGTTTTACAGTTGGTAAACTTGAGTCCCTGGCTTTAAGACGCGAGCGCGTCACAAGGGTCGCACTGTACATTTCGCCAGGCTGATTGTTGCCTCCGACCAATCATAATCGAGCAGTTCATTTCAGACTCCTTTCCATATGAAATTCACGACAGTGATTCCAGTCAGTCATCCTATACTTCGACGGATTTTAGAAGGTAAATGCTCAAGTTGGGCCCACCTTTGTTATTATAGCCTGGGGCTTTAAAGCCGAAATTGTCTGATGCCACCTGCTTCGTCTCCCATAAATCGGCCACTGAACGGGCAATTCTATCTCGTACCTACACGTCGACTTTATTGGTGATGATGCTCATATTCCTTTGTGGCTGCTGAGTTTTGAAAGCATATACGTGATCAAAAAGATGGATCTTGTGTATAAGAACTGGGTCGGGGCGAAGGACTGAAAGAAGTCAACCCCCTCGCGCTGTCTGAAGCATCTAACTAACAAGAGAGGCGAGGACCCGAGGAACAAGAGGACTAGCGACACGAAGGAAGTCAGACAAGGGAGGCGGAGCGACAACTAGCGAGGACGGAGGAGGCGACGGGAGGAGGGGAGGACGTGATGCGTGGGAACGAAGCAACATAGGGTGAGAGCGTTGGACAGGAGAGACAGGACGAGCACGAGAGGGACGGCGAGACCAGAAGTGGACGGAGGCGTCGGGTCAGGAGACACAGGAGGAGAACACGGGGGGAAACGAGCCAGAGAAGAGTCTGGTGGAGGAAACACAGGACCGTAGACAGGCAGGGGAGGCGCAGGCGGGCGGTCAGGGGAGGGAAGACCGAGGAGGCGAAGGGCGAACACCGGCGGCGACTCCTGCTGCTGCTTCACATCGACACCAGAACCTCCAGCTGCACCACGGCTACCTTCGGAATGCTCCACGCCAGCACCCCCAGAACGAGAACCCTCTCCAGCACCAATGCCACCTCCGAGACCGCCGAGACTAGCCACGACACTAACCCCAAGACTAGCACCCCCAGAACCAGCACCCCCAGAACGAGAACCCTCTGCAGCACCGGTGCCACCCCCAGGACCGCCAGGACAAACCACGAGAGTACCCCCAGTACTAGCACTCTCCCCAACGCCCGCACCCCCAGATGTCGCGGACCCCTGCGGCGGTTGTGGCTGCGGCGACTGGGACGGCGGCGACTGCTGCTGCTGCTTCGGCGTCTACGGTGGAGGAGGAGACACCGGGGCAAAGACAGGCAGGAAAACGAAAGCCACAGGGCCCCCAAAGACAGCCGACTCCTCCACCGGGACAACCGGCGGGAGGGGAGTGACGCGAGACACACCTGATGGGGAAGGATGGGGAGGAAGGGGGACCAGGAACAGGGGCGGGGCAACCGGGAGACCTCGGTGGGGAAAGCGAGTGTAGAAGGAGACAAACTCGTCAAAAGTGATGTCACATGAGACGGCGGGTGGTAAGAGTGCCAGTCAGACGCGTCAAGGGGGAAACCGAGGAAGACACAGGGGACGGTGCGGGCAGTGAGCTTGTCCATGGAAGAGGCACGAACGTGAGCAAGGCAGCCCCAGACATGGAACGCAGACGCGTCACCAGAGAACCTGGTCCAGAGAAGGGTTGGCGAAACCTGCGGCCGCTGAGAGTGTGGCCACAGGTTAAACTGGTGAGTGGCGTAGCGAACAACGAACGGCCGCTGAAAATGTGGTGCACCAGCATGGATCATGGAGGTAGGAGCCACCTCCATGACCAAACCGATGCGTTGCTCAGCGACCCCATTCTGTTGCGGGGAGTCCGGTAGGGTGTACAAATAGGTGATGCCCTCCGCATGACAGAACTGGCCAAGTCGACCGGAGGCAAACTCGCCACCACGGTCGGAATGGAGACACAGTACGGGGAGGCGGCGATGGACTCGCGCAGCTACGACCCACGGGATAAGAATGTCAGGCACGTCTGCCTTCTGCTCCAGGGGAAACACCGGGGTGTAGCGCGTGTAGTCGTCGACTAGCACTAGAAAGTAGCGCTCGCGACACGGCCCAGGGACGGGAGCTGGGACCTACACGTCCAGGTGCAGGGTCTGGAGTGGCGCGGTGGTAGGGGGGAGTGAGGAGGAGTGAGGAACACGACGCAGCCGGCCCTCGACGAAAGGCGTGCACGGCGGCGCAGGCGAGGGAGGGAGGGCAGGGAGCAACGCAGGGAGACCAAAGATAAGCCCGTGATGGGACATGTGATGCAGACGCGGGAGTGCGGGGTGACGTACGCGGTGGTGCCACAACAGGGAAGGGTGGGTGAGCGACTGACACGAGGAGGCTGCAGCTACCTGGGAGGATGCGGCGATCTGCGGGGATGCTCCGACAGGGGGGGACGCGGTGTCCAGCATGAACAGGACACACACGGGGTCCTGGGGGAACGTGGTGAGAGGGGCACCAGTGGCTGCCTCGGTCCATGTCAAGCTCAAAGAAAGGCACACGGCGGAGAACCAGGGCGTACCAGTAAGGAGGGTCCGACGTGGGACCAAAGCAAAGACGGAAGAGGTCGTCGAGGCGGTGGTAGCAGCAGGCGGCGGTGTGACTGGGATGGTCGCAGACGCTGTCGCGGCGGGGGCCGGACTGGAGCTGGTACTGGCAGGTGGCCATACTGGAGCCGCCACCCGACACCGAGCTGTGCGGCCCACCACTACAACCACCACCACCAGTGCCACCAGGCCACCACGGCGGCTGCTGCTGCTGCTGCGTCTGCTGCTGCTGAGGGTGCTGCTGAGGCTGCTACTGCTGCTTCTCTCGGGCACCAACCCCGGTCCCCTCGACGTCACCACTGTCCGCGGCCCCACCTCCACCACCCCCACCACCCCCATCACCCTTCCCTCCGCCACGCCCCCCCTTGGGGCGGCGGCCCCTACCCGGACGCTGCTGCGCTGAGGTCGCGTCGGCAGTCTCAGCAGCAGGGGCTGTCTCAGCGACAGCGGCAGAAACGCCAGAGTAAGTGCACTGGAAGGGAGCACAGCGCTGGAGGATAGGGACCGGCGCAGTACCGCTAGACTGAGCGATAGTGCGCTGGCGGGTATCTATCGTGGACACAACAGTGACAAAGGCAGTGAGGGTGAGGTCACCTGGGTGCTGACTAAGAAAGTGGTCGCGGGCAGTGGCTAGGCGGTTAGGCAGGCGCGTGGCAATGAGGTAAAGGGTAGCGCAAAGCGGGGGCGGGAAGGCAGTGAGCTGTGCCTCAGTGCTAGCGGCGCAATAGCTAGTCTCCAGAGCGTGGAGGTGAGTTGCAAGGTCAGCGACAGTGGGGAAGGACGCAAGGTCAGGGAACAGCATGGGGAGGATAAGGCGGCTGGCAGAGGCTGAGGCGGGGGTGGAATAGCGCGCGATGACGACATCTAAGTATTCCTTGGCGTTTGCTACAGTGGTAATGCGTGGACACTTAGACAGGGAGAGGGCATGACTAATGGCAAGATGAGCAACGGTGTCACGCGAATCCCAGTCAGCGCAGG